GCTGACTGAGCCACCCAGGCACCCCAAGCACTGAGATTTTTAATGTCACTTTTCCAAAAGTAGTAGCAGAGGCAAAATTCAAAATTGGGTTTTTACTCCCAATTTTATTTTTTCTCACTTCTTTGTGCTGTGTTCTTAGGCACTTAAAACGAACAGTTATTTGAAAGTTAAAGTCATGAATCAAGACATGCCAATCTGATATTGAAGTATCAATATGTATTGATATACATGTATTATATATTATAATACATGTATTACATATTGTATTGTATAGTATATGTATTATGTATTGCACATATTTTGCAGTACATGTATTATATGTCATGGATCTGTGGGTTAACAGCTGGGCACTTCTTGCTTGAGGTCGCTCATGAACTTGCAGTCACCTGATGGCTGGGACTGGAGTCATCTGAAGGCCTGAGTGGGATGATGCTCAATATGGCTGGCAATTGATGGCTGGCAGTCAGTTAGGACCTCAGCTGGAGCTATCACTTGAAACACTAACCAAAACCTGTACATGTGGCTTGAATTTCTCACTGAATATCAGTAGCTGGGATCTCAGAGGGAGCTTCCTAAGAGCAAATGTTCTAAGATGTAGGTGAAGTCTACACAGCTTTTTATGAACTATTATGTCTCACAGTATCACTTTTACTACATTATGTTGATCAAGCAAGTCACTGAGGTCAGCCCAGATTCAGGAGGAGGGTTAGTAAACTACCTCTTGATAGGAAATGTCATAGTCACTTCATACAAGAGCGTGTGGGAAGGGAGTTACTATTGTGGGTATCTTTGGAATACATAATTTGCCACAGAGGCCAGCTCTAAATATTGAATGCGAGCTTTGACCTAGATAACAAAACAATGAATATATCATTAGAGTAAAACAGTGGATTTTAGTAAACAAAATTGTAAATTCCAGTTTTTCATACCTGAGACACACAGTCATTAAGAGCATGAATGACAAATGTGATGTAAGTGTCTCTTACTATTTTTATCTAATATTTATGACTTTTTACATAGAAAGTTGTTCTGTGTTCAGAGTTCTACCCATTTGTAGATATTTGTAAATAAAAACAACTAACATGTGAAAGCTGATTTGGTAGTCATAAAGATTTAGTTTGATGGTGACCTTTTGTGGCTTTGTTTTATATATAAGACTTGGTAAAACTTAGCTTATGAAAATTCATAAAAGCCAAAGTGAAAATGATGGCATAACATTAGTTAATGAAAACATTATCAGTAGAGTTACTTGCTACCTGTTGAACTTTTTTTCCATAGTGTCATTGTAATATACATGGAGATGGTGATTGAGTCTGACAGTATTGGTGACAGGATTAATCATAAGGGTCGGTATTGTTCAGCCCTCCATATGAACATATGGCACTGTAGGTAGAGGGCTTTTGCTTTCTGGATACTTTTTCAATAAGATGAATGAGCAAGAATGAAACATTTTATTAATTCACTTAGGTTAGGTTAGGTTGAAGAGTGACTGCTGATACATTGTATTTAAAGAATGTGTCCTTTCCAGAATTGCCTTAAGAGCTTCATTTCTGCAGTCTGTGTTTTCTGTGGGAAACTGGAAAAGTCTGAATTGCAAAAGAAAGCACGGTAGCATGGCCCTGTGATATTTGTGTCTGAAGATTAAGGAGATTTCACGCCTTAGTTTTTCACTTACCTTCGAGCCTAAGATAGTTTATTTTTAGCGGTTGTAACTTCACATAGAAACTGAATGGCTGAGAGTGGTATGATGGGAGATGAGTGGGAGTAGAGAGGATTTGATAGAAAAGAGCCCCCTCTTAAAGCTCTGTCTTGCTTTCTTTGAAGCCCACAGTAGTTTGTTGAGGTGGGTTGGAATAATAACTTGTGAATGGTGAAATTGACTTCAGTGCTTTAGTTCATCAGAACTAACATTTGCTAAGGCAGCTGTGTACATTCCTGACAAATCTGTCCATTCTGGCTAGTCTGTGATTTGAGAAAAAGTCGTTAGAAGCCCCAGCTACATGAAAGTACAGGTATCCCCTGCTTTTGGAAGGTTTGTTTTATGCCACTTCGCAGTTACAGAAAGACCTCTTTACCTTAACTAAAAGAAGTTTGAAGAGGTTTTTCACTTTTACAAAAAAAGGCCCAAAGTGACTTTCTTTTAATTAATATTGATATTCTCTTTTCCTATCTTGTTTCTGTCTTTTAATCTGTCTATATTTAAAGTGGATTTTCCTGTAGATAGTTTATAGCCAGCATATACCTGGTCCTTTTTTATCCAGTTTGAGTCTCTGCCTAGTAATTGGAGTGTTTAGGTTATTTATATTTAATGTAGTTATCGATATGGTTGGATTTAAAGCTACCATTTTGCTGTTAGTTTTCAGTATGTTTTATTTGTTCTTTGTTCCCTTTGTTTTCTGTTTTTTTCTTTTCATTTTTTTATGATCATATTTTATCTCCATTTTGGGCCATAACCTGTGGCTCAAAGAGGAAATCACAACAGCATTTGGAAAATATTTTCAGTGAAATGAAAGTGAAAATGAAATATATCAACACTTGGAGGATGTAGCTATAGCTATCCGTAGAGGTAAATTTATAGAATTAAATGTTTATGTTTGAAGAAGAAATGTCCCAAGTCCATGATCTAAATTTTTATCTTAAACAAGAAGAGCAAACGTAAAGGAAGCAGAAGAAAGGAAATGATGAAAATAAGAGCAGAGACCTATGAAACTGGAAAGAGAAAAACAATAGGGAAAATTCAGAAGTAAAGCTGTTTCTTTGAAAAAAATCTTGTGGATTTTATCCCAGGCATGCAAGCCTGGTTCACCCTTGAAAATAAATCAGTGTAATTTACTGTCTCAAAGCCTAAAGAAAAAACATATAAATAATCATCTCAATAAATGTGGAAAGTTCCTTTGAAAAAAATTCAATTTACATTTGTAACAAAAACTTTAAGAACTAAAGGAAATTTCCTCAACCTGATAAAGGACATCTACAAAAAAATTGTGTATTCAGCACAATAGCAATTATTTGATAGAATTCACTACTGAAGTCATCCGGACTTAGAATTTTCTTTCTTGGAACTCATTTTATAAGCCCTTCAATAGGTCAGTACCAAAAACAAAGAAAAGCACAGACCGGTTATGTACCAAGGTACAAAAATCCTCAACAATATTGTAATCAAACCCAATAACATATAAAAAGGATAATGTATTATGACCAACTGTGGTCCAATTTTCTTTTTTTTTTTAATGTTTTTATTTATATTTGAGAGAGATGGAGAGAGAGACAGAAAGACAGACAGAGACAGTACATGAGCAGGGGAGGAATGGAGAGAGGTGGAGACAATCTGAGGCAGGCTCTAGACTTTGAGCTGTCAGCACAGAACCCAACGTAGGACTTGAACTCACAAGCTGTCGTATCATGACCTGAGCCAAAGTTGGACACTTAACCAACTGAGCCACCCAGGCACCCCCAATTTTCTTTACGTTATTCATCTATAGTATAATTTTATCGTGGTCTAAAGACATAGCATGTTATCATTTCAATTTTTAAAAAGTTAAGTTTTTTTTAATGGTTCAATATATGGTCTATCTTGGTTAGTATTCTGTGTGCACCAGAAGTAATATGTATCCCGCTATTGCAGAGTGCAATGTTCCTTACCTATTTTTCTGTTTAATTGTTTTATCTATTTCTAAGAAAGGAATGAAGTCTCCAACTAAATTGTGGATTTGTCTCTCTTTTCAGTTTTATCAATTTTTGCTTCATGTATTTCGAAGCTCTGTTTTTGGATAAGAATACACATCTAGATCTTTTATGTCTTCTTGGAGAATTGATCCCCTTATCATTATGTAATTTTCCTCTATATCCCTGGTAATATTACTTAAAGTGCAATTTGTCTGATACTAGTACAGCTACTTCAACTTTCTTGTTTGCAAATCTTTCTTTCCTCCATCCTTTTACTTTTAACTTCTGTAAGTCTTTATATTTAAACAGTTTCTTATAGGGAGCATTTAGGTGGGCCCTGCTTTTTTTAATCCATTCTAGCAATCTGTCTTTTATTCGGTGTGCTTAGACCATTTGCATTTAATATAAATGTTGATATGGTTGGATTAAAATGTCAAAATTTGCTATTTTTCTGGATGATATCTGCAAGGTTGAACTTATGCTTTTTTATTGTCTTTATATACCAATTGAATATTTTTATGATTTTCTTTTATTTCCATTTCTCTTTTAAAAATATTTTTAGTGATGATCTCTATTAAATTTATTTGGTCTTTTTTCCCCTCTGTACTTAAGTTCATGTACCTAAGCATGTCTTCAAGTTTACTGATCTTTTAGAAAATCAAAATTCAGGGAGGCCAAGGGAGACAGAATTTATAAGACACAGTAGAAGGAGCTATATGAAGAAATAGTTCGGGTCTGAATTTTGATTTCTGTTCCCTCAACTCAGATCACCATTCACTTCTTAGGATCATCTTCTCTGCCCTGAGATCCAGAAATTGCCTTTAGGCAGAAAGCCTGTACCGATATTTGAGAAGTGCCTCTGAGTGGAAAGTTGAGGCAAATGTCTGTCTTAATCTAATTGTATTCCTTCTTAGAGACTATTCAACACTGCCTATGGCCTGATGTCCCAAACAGTTACCTGAGTATATATTTTAAGTATATTTTTCTACTTTTCTCATTGTTTACAACAGGAATATAAGTCTGGGTCCAGTTATTCCATCATGACTGGAAGTGGAAGTTTTGGTCTACCATTTTATTTCCAGAACTTTTTTTTCATCCAGAAGCAGTACGGAATGCCTAATGTATGATTGCTAAGGAAGAGAGCCTGTTAATTTTGTTTGAAAAATTTAAAGGAACTTGTTAGTATACAGTTGAATTGTGTCATTAATAAGAATTAAACTTCTCTACCATATTCTGCCTTTTGTATGGTACAGTCTGTTACCTATTATGTTAAGGGGGAAAATGGCTGGATGTACTACTAATTGTTACATTTCTCATTTTTTAGACCTAAAGATTGTCTTCGGTCTATTATGAGAAGGGTGAACCATAAAGATCCTCATGTTGCTATGCAGGCTCTGACTGTGAGTGATTTCATTTTAAGTTTTACCACAAAATTTTCTGCTAAAACAGAGCCTTTTTAACTTGCTATTTTATGCTTTTAGCTTCTAGGAGCATGTGTATCAAACTGTGGCAAAATTTTTCATTTAGAAGTATGTTCAAGAGATTTTGCCAGTGAAGTAAGCAACGTATTAAACAAGGTAAGGGACATTATACAGTCTTTTTCTTTCATGTATTTTATTCAGTTCTTTACATTTTAAATCACAAAGGACTGGTCTGTGCTTTCTTTCTTTTTTTAAAAACGCTTCCTAGGCTATGTCTATTCAGTATGTCAGTATGTAAGTTATTTTGCTGAAGAGACTATAGATTTATGTACTTAGATAATTTTTTTTTCCAAACCAGATTAGACTATATTTAACCTGTTTTCTTCATCATTCCTTTCATCTGATAAGAAAATATGTGAATTTTTTTTATCTGATTAAGTAATACCAGTGTGTTTTGGGCACAGTTTATATAACCATTTGTGTAGCCACAGAGGTATTTTCCCAGTGTAGAAGTGTTCAGAAATACTGCCAAAATATGGCACTGTTTTCATTGTGACATGAGTAAGGCCACTACCTGACCATGATAGGATTTTAATACTATACTCTTTATTTAACTGAATGTATCATAAAAAATTCACTTTAAGCAGTTTAAAAAATTTAAGTTAGTAATATGTGAATTTTCCTAGTAAAAATTTGTGCCTTCTAAAGGTAATTATTTTTTATTTTTTTCGGCGGGGGGAGGGGGAGGATGGAGTGTTACATAATCAAGAAAAATTTTAAGATGTGAAAAGGGAAAATGCCTCATATTTTTTTGGGGAAGATGAGTATTTCTCGGTTTTAGTAGAAAACAGTTCAGAAATAAGATAAAAATTTGTTTCCATAATTCTTTACAGAATTTCTGTACCTTGTTTTCAAACATGATCATGTGTTAATTCTTTTCATGTTTTGCTTTATTCTTTATTTATATTTAGGTGTCTTCTAATTAATAACCATTCTTTTAATGTCCTGAGTGTCCATCAAAATGTATGGTTGTTTATGAATAGATTCTAGTGTATTCTATAATTTAATTGAAGATGTGATATGCAGATTTGTGTTTAGTAGCAAGAACAACTATTTTGAAAAGCAAACAGCTACATACAGGAAAAAGGACTACTTTATTTTCCAAATACATATTGATTTTATACTTAAGGGGGAGGTGTTATTTTGAAGAAATGAGGTTTCTAGGAATATTGACATGCAGTGGACCTCAAACCAGCCTCTGATAATTAAACAACTTGGGGAAAAGACACAGTCAGGCATATTAAAAGTCAGGGATTAGGAATAAAGGAACTATCATTTTTTTCTCTTCCCAGCTTATTTTTTACTGGTCTGCAAAATTACCAAAACAAAACAGACTACTTTTCTGTGTCTTCCTGATGTACAAAGCTCGCTTAGTTGCGAAATACTCTAAAAAGTTCTGTCTCTCTGACCTCCAGTATAAGTTAGTACACACTGTTTTACTTTGATATGAGGGATGTATGTTGGTATCACCTATTGTTTTTCCATAATGTGAAAAAATATTTGATTATTTCTAGTAACCAACTATATTTTTCTTATGTATTATCTATAGCTAGGGATAATTTGTGATTCAAAAAAATGTCTACAGCACTTTTATAATATTTATATTTAATGTATCTGTGTTAAATTACCCAGGCAATTAGTACTTTTTAATTCAATTTTTTCTCTATTTTCAGGGTCATCCTAAAGTCTGTGAAAAATTAAAGGCTCTTATGGTCGAATGGACAGATGAATTTAAGAATGACCCACAGCTTAGTCTAATATCAGCAATGATTAAGAACCTTAAGGAGCAAGGAGTTACATTTCCAGCTATTGGCTCTCAGGTATTTTGTAAAGTTGCATGTGTGCTATAGTTGGTTTCTCTAAAGTAGCCACATTTATATGAAGTTTTCTTTTTTTCTTCCAAACCAGGTAGTTTTTACTACCCCAAAGGAATTTTTGTTATTAAGTCCTGCGTTCAGTGATGCCAGAAAAATTCAGGGGAATATTTATTTGTTCCAACTTCCACTTTCCCACTGTTTCTCCTTCTTTGTAAATAAATTAAATTAGCTTTTTGCAATTAAAAAATTTTTGAGTTTTTTTTTTTTTTTTAATTTTTTTTTTCAACGTTTATTTATTTTTGGGACAGAGAGAGACAGAGCATGAACGGGGGAGGGGCAGAGAGACAGGGAGACACAGGATCAGAAACAGGCTCCAGGCTCTGAGCCATCAGCCCAGAGCCTGACGCGGGGCTCGAACTCACGGACCGCGAGATCGTGACCTGGCTGAAGTCGGACGCTTAACCGACTGCGCCACCCAGGCGCCCCGAGTTTTTAATAATATAGACAAAACTGCGGTATGGTATCAGCTAATACTGACAGTCTTCTTAAATGCTCTTAATGCTTTAATTTTATCTACAAAGAATGACAGCTTAAAAGTTGGGCTGTCCTTAAAATTTAAGGGTGAGTTTAGAGTTTGTTTTGATAGTGAAATTTATGAATACTTGTATTAAAAGTGAGACGGAGATAAGGGAGTCGATGAGAAGAGAAGCGCATGAAATAGCTTTTCACTTAATTAGAACTGACCAGTGCATAAATATGATTGAGTGAAAGGCTGAAATTTCCTTTCTGCCTCTCCCTTCCCCAGTTTATATAATGGGATCAATCTCTAATTTATGTCACGAAGAAAGCATTTTTGAAAGGGTATCTTTTATTTTTTTTCTATTCTGAGTAAGCATCCTTTGAGATGCCCAGCGAATCTAGGGGGCCTTAAAATGTGTGATAATTTATTATACTGTCTTTCCCTACGGCATGGACTGGGGTGAAATATGACAAGTGGTGTGAAAGCATGCACAGAAAACTCTCAAGCTGTGGAGGGCTCAAGTTCGGGGTTTTGAGCACTTCACTGAATTATGAAGTGATTTATCCAGACTTAACTGAACTTTCTTCCCAAAGTACTCTTTTAGTTAGTTTGTCTGAATAGTCTTGAGATGTGAAGATGCAGAAATATATTTGGGAGATACGGGAAGGGCAGTATATTTTCTTCTTACTTGAAATTTGACTTATGAATAGTTTTACAATGATAAATTATGTCTTTAAGAAGTATTTATTCATAATTTGTAGCTGGCTTTTACTACTCTCAGAATGTTTTCTAACATCTGTGTAATTAGGGAATAATTTTATGCAGAGCAACAACAACCTATCTTATAATTAAGTTCCTTGACAAGACAGGCGATGTTTAATTACCAAAGGGTAGACTCCCTATAGAAAACTAGAGTATAGATGCTTACTGAAATTACAGTTTCTGTGGCCCGAGAAGCTATTCTAGAGCTTGTTACTTAAAATGTAGCTTGTTGATCGTCATCATCACCACATGGAAGCTTGTTAGAAATGAAGTATCTTAGGTGCCACTCCAGACCTATGGATTTATTATCTCTATTTTAACACGATCTCCAGATGATTCTGTGCGCACGTTAAAGTTTGGGAAGCACTGCTCTTGATCTTGAGTATGGCTTTCAGTACAAGTGAAAACTATTTTTCAGTCCACGATGGAATTTGTTCCAGTTAGAGAAGGAAGGACTAACGATCTATGTGTCATGTAGCTTTGTTTCGTTAACCTAGAATCTCAGGTAGTTGTGTGAACAACTTTAGGGATTCTCTAATCTAATCCCCTCATTTTACAGATGAGGAAACTGAGACCCAGAATGGTTAAGTGACTTCCCCAGGGCCACAGCTCGTAGTTGACAGAGCTGGAAGTAGAACACAGGCCTCCTGACTCTCAGTCCAGTGTTCTTTCCACTACACGATCCTGCCTTCCGGTTGATATAGAGGTTAGTGGATATGTGTCTGTCCGGACTAGGCTTCACAGGACAGGAAGTGGAGTGAACACTGGCAAGAGCACTTATTTATTGACTGGCACAGAAGTTAGGTTCCTCTCCTGTTCAAGAGGTTCAGGACATACATCAGCAATAGTAAAGTTAAGAGTTACTTGTCTTTTTTTCATCTAGATGTTCTAAAGCATATGAAAGCTAATTTTGTTGTAGTTACTATCTTTAGCCACAAGAAATACATAAAATGCGTATAAAGTAAAATGTAATCAGCTAGAATGGTGATTTTATTTAACAATTGTGTCTGATAGCTGATTATTGGAAACCATGTTTGTGAAGAACTTCATATTTACTAAAAAAAGATCAGGTAGGATCATCTACACAAGTCCCTCGAGATTTTAAACTCACTTAGTTGCCTAATCATTATTACATTTTAATCAGACTAGATCTTTGTCAGCGTACTTAACAAAAGCCTCTGAAAATATTAGGATTTTTAAAGTGTATTTTTTCATCCAAGTACAGAAGAAAATAATCTAAAAATATTAAGAAAAGCCATACTTCAGTCACTTAACTCATTCCGCTGCAGTTCTCGTGGCACTAACTTTTGACATAGAGATAAAAGTAACGTTAGCACTGCGACTGTATTCGACAAATGAGTAACAGGAATCATTGCAACACCTTGAACCTGATGATCGGAAAGAACTTTGAAAAGTGTGCAGCCCAGGAGTATAGGGCTTAAATATAGCTTGTTTCTGCACTTCGGTCTCTGTTTTCTTTAATTGAAGAATATTTGACATACAATATTGTATTAGCTTCAGGTGTACAACATAATTATTGACTGTTTATATACATTATGAAATGGTCACTTTAATAAGTCTAGTTACCATCTGCCACAATACAGAGTTGTTACGATGTTATTGATTCTCTATGCTGTATATTATATCCCCCCTCTTACTTATTTTATAACCGGAAGATTGTATCTCTTAATCCCCTTTACCTGTTTTGTCCATTCCCCTCACCTGCCTCCTGTTTGGCAGCCACCGGTTTCTTTTCCGTATCTGTGAGTCTGTTTCTGTTTCTGTTTTGTTTGTTAGATTTCACATATAAGTGAAATCATACCATGTGTCTTTCTCTGGCTAACGTAATTTCACTTAGCATACCCTCTAGGCCCATCCATGTTGTTGCAAATGGCAAGATTTTACTCTTTTATTATGGCTGAGTAATGTGTGTGTGTGTGTGCGTGCGCGTGCATGCATGTAGTGTGCACGTGCACATAAACCATATCTTTATCCATTCATCTTTCAGCAGACATTTAGGTTACTTCTAGTCTTGGCTGTTGTACTGCAGTGAACACAAGGGTACATATGTCTTTTTGGAATGAGTGGGTTTTTTGTCCGTTGGATAAAAACCTGGAAGTTTTTTCACACAAAAACCAGAACTGCTGGATTTTAATTTGTTAAATTAAACAAATTGCTGGATTTTTAATCTGTTGAGGAGGACTCTCCATAGTGTTTTCAGTAGAGGCTGTACCAGTTTACATTTCCAGCAACAATGTGAGGGTTCTCTTTTCTCCACTTCCTTGCCAATACTTGTAGTTTATTTACTTTTGATACTAGCCATTCTGTCAGATGTGAAGTAGTTATCTCATCATGATCCTGATTTTCATTTCCCTGATCGTTAGTAATGTTGAATATCTTTTTATGTACCTGTTAGTCATCTGTATGTCTTCTTTGGAGACATGTCTATTCAGGTTCCCTGCCCATTTTTAAATTGTAGAACTTGTTTTTTAAATATATATTTCATATATTTTTATGTTATATCTTTGTATATATTTTTATAAATTTTGGACGTTAACTTCTTTTTTTTTTTTTTTCAACTTTTTTTTTTTGGGACAGAGAGAGACAGAGCATGAACAGGGGAGGGGCAGAGAGAGAGGGAGACACAGAATCGGAAACAGGCTCCAGGCTCTGAGCCATCAGCCCAGAGCCTGACGCGGGGCTCAAACTCACGGACCGCGAGATCGTGACCTGGCTGAAGTCGGACGCTTAACCGACTGCGCCACCCAGGCGCCCCTGGACGTTAACTTCTTAGGGGATATGTCACTTATGAATATTTTCTCCCATTCAGTAGGTTGCCGTTTTGTTTTGTTGATGTTTTCTTTGCTGTGCAAAAACTTCTTAGTTTGATGTAGTCCCGTTTTGGTGTTTTTGCTTTTGTTGTCCTTGCCTGAGGAGTTAGAGTCAAAGAAATATTGCTAAGACAGATGTCAGAGAGCTTACTGCGTTTTCTTCTATGAATTGTATGGTTTGGGTTTTACATTTAAGTCTTTAGTCCATTTTGAGTTTATTTTTGTATATGGTGTAAGAAGGTGGTCCGGTTTCATTCATGTGCATGTGATTGTCCAGTTTTCTCAACACTGTTGAAGACACTCTTCTTCCCATTGTATATTCTTGCTTCCTTTGTCATAGATTAATTGACCAAATAAGTGTTGTTTTATTTCTGAGTTGTCTTTTATGTTCCATTGATCTGTGTGTCTGTTTTTTGTGCCAGTACCATACTGTTTTGATTATATGATAGCTTTATAGTATATTTCGAAATCCAAAAGTGTGATATGCCCAGCTTTGTTTTTCTTTCTCAGGATTGCTTTGGCTATTTGGCATCTTTTATGGTTCCATACAAATTTTAGAACTATTTATTCTAGTTCTGTGAATAATATTCTGTGAAAAATTAATATTTTGATATGGATTGCATTGAATCTGGATCTGTAGATTTAGGTAGTATGGACATCTTAACAATATTAATTCTCCTAGTTCATGATATTGGCATATCTTTTTGTTTATTTGTGTCATCTTCATTTGTTTTCATCAGTGTCTTACAGTTTTCAGGGTACAGGTCTTTCACCTTCTTGATTAAATTTATTCCTAGGTATTTTTTGCATTTTGATGGGATTGTAAATGGGATTGTATTCTTAATTTCTCTCTCTGGTAGCTTGTCGTTAGTGTATAGAAATGCAAGAGA